CCCAGGCCCAGAGTTCAGGCCCCACGACCAGACCTGCCCCCCCCCCCCAAAAAAAGTAAGGCTTTGACTACAGTTGTACATATATCTATTCATCTCACTTTCATTCTTTGCATATACTAGAAATGGAATTGATGAATCAAATAACTTAATTTTTATTTATTTTTTTTGTGGAACCATTATACTGTTATTCCATAGCAGCTATCTCATTCCAACTGGCAGAGAATAAGTATTTTCATTTCCCACACTAATTTTCAGAGTTTTTAAAAATAATAGTATCCTAATGGGTGTGAAATGGTATCCTAGTTTTGTTATAATTTGAATTTCTTGATAATTGTGATGAACATCATTAGCCATTTATATCCCTTTTTTTTTTTTTTTTGGTCGGTTGTGGGGCCTAGGCGCTGTCCCTCAGCTCTTCAGCTCAAGGCAAGCACTCTACCTTATGAGCCATAGTGCCACTTCCAGTTTTCTGAGTGGTTTATTGGAGATAAGAGTCTCATGGTCTTTCCTGCCCAGGCTGGCTTTGAACTGTGATCCTCACATCTCAGCTCCTGAGTAGCTAGGATTACAGGTGTGAGCCACCAACGTCTGGCTTCATTTATATACTTTTAAGAAAACATCTCTTAAAGTGGTTGCCTAATTTTCCTCAGGTTGGTTGGTTTTTTTGTGTTTTTTTTTGAGGGGGGAAGGGTTTGAGTTGTAAAGAGTTCTCAAAATTCTAGATAATTAACTTTTATTAGATACGTGGTTTGAAAATAATTAATATTTTTTTCTGGTCCTAAGGCTTTAAACTCAGGGCCTGGGCACTGCTCCTGAGTCTCTTTGTGTTCAAAGCTAGCTCTCTATCACTTGAGCCCACAGTACCACTTCCACCTATTTCTGATTGGTTCACTGGAGATAATGTATCATGGACTTTTCTGTCCCTGCTGGCTTCAAACTGCAGTTCTCAGATCTCAGCCTCCTGAGTAGCTAGGATTATAGGCATGAGCCACCAGCACCTGGCTCGAAAATAATTCTTTATCCTGTAAGTTGCCTTTTAACATTGTTGACAGTGTCCTTGGTTGTGCAAAAGTTGTTCTTGTTTTTGTTTTGTTTTGTTGGCTATACTGGGGTTTCAACTCAGGGCCTTGTACTTGCTAGTGAGGCTTTTTTACCATTAAACCATGCCTCCAGCTCTTTTTTGCACTATTTTTTTATTCATTCATTTATTTTTGTCAGTTGTGGGGCTTGAACTCTGGGCCTGGACACCGTCCCTTAGCTCTTCAGCTCAAAGCGAGCACTCTACCACTTGAACCACAGTGCCACTTCCGTTTTTCTGGTGGTTAATTGGAAATAAGAGTCTCATGGACTTTCCTCCCCGGGCTGGCTTTGAACTGCAATTCTCAGATCTCAGCCTCCTGAATAGCTAGGATTACAGGTGTGAGCCACTAGCACCCAGCTACACGTTAATTTTGAGATATGATCTTACTTTTTGTCCTAACCCACCCCAGAATCATGTCCTAACCCACCCCAGAATGGCAGGTACGCACTGTTGCACCCAGCTATTGGTTGTGAAGGGGTCTTGCTAACTTTTTGCCCAGGTTGGCTTTGAACTGAAATCTTCCTTATCTCAGATGCTTTTATAGGTAGCTAGGATAATAGGTACCAGCCACTACACTGGTCTAAAAGTTTGTAGTCTTGATGAAATCCAATTTAAACATAGTTCTTTTTCTTTTTTTCTTATGCTGGTCCTGGGCCTTGAACTCAGGACCTGAGCACTGTCCCTGAACTTTTTTGCTCAAGGCTAGTGCTCTACCACTTAAGCCACAGCTCCACTTCCAGCTTTTAGGTGATTAATTAGAGATAAGAGTCTCATGGATTTTCCTGCCCTTGGGACTGGCTTCAAACCCCTGTTCTCAGATCATAGCCTCCTGAGTAGCTAGGATTACAAACATGAGCTACCAGTCTCAAGTTTACTTTTTTTGTTTTGTTTGGTTTTGTTTTTTGTTACCTGTCTTTGGTGTCATTTTCAGGGAATCATTGTCAATAGAGTTACCGTAAAGCTTTTGTATGGGAAGAATTTTATCTCTATGATAATCCTGAGGCTCAAATGATCACAAAGATTCTGCAGTGAAGCAGATTATTTGAAGATGTTGCTCAGCTCATTGGAAAACTGTCTGTTACTTTAATAACTACTGATTCATAATAAATATTTTTTTGGGGGGGGTCCAGTCGTGGGGCCTGAACTCTGGGCCTGGGCACTGTCCCTCAGCTCTTCAGCTCAAGGTTAGCACTCTGCCACTTGAGCCACAGTGCCACTTCCGGCTTTTTTCTTTTGCTTATGTGGTGCTGAGGAATCGAACCCAGGGCCTCATGCATGCAAGGCAAGTGCTCTACCACTGAGCCACCTTCCCAGCCCCATAATAAATATTTTTAAAAGCAAGTTGGTTGATGTACCAGTGGCTCACACCTATATTCCTTGCTACAAAAGAGTAGCAAAAAGCCAGAACTGAAGATATGGCTCAAGTGGTAGAGTACCTGCCATGAGCAAAAAAGCCAAGCAGAATACAAGGCTTTGAGTTCAAGCCCCTCTACCAATACAAGAAAAGCCAAGCTGAGTATTAAGGAATTTGTTAGTGCTTTGCCCACACCACTAATGAAGTAGACATTTGGCATAGGAGAGGGAAGAGTATAGAGATTTTAACTCAGGACTTTGCATTTGCTCAGCTTTCTGGCACACTATCACTTGAACCATATCTACAGCCCAAATGAGCATTTTACTGCTATAAGTTGTGACCTTCTTAAAAAATTATTTGCTAGGGCTGGGAAGGTGGCTCAGTGGTAGAGCACTTGCCTTGCATGCTCGAGGCCCTGGGTTCGATTCCTCAGTACCACATAAGCAAAAAGAAAAAAGCCGGAAGTGGCGCTGTGGCTCAAGTGGTAGAGCACTAGCCTTGAGCTGAAGAGCTGAGGAACAGCGCCCAGGCCCAGAGTTCAGGCCCACGACCAGACCCAAAAAAAAAAAATTATTTGCTAGTTAGTACCTTAGTGCCTTACACCTGTTCAATTGGTGTTCTGCCATTTGACTAATCCAGTTCCTCAGTAATCTTTGATTTTTAAATAGGAAATGTAAGTTTCTGTTTTAAAACCAATTCTTAACCAGGCATCAGAGGCTCATGCTTGTAATCCTAGCTGCTCAGGAGGCTGAGATCTATGGATCATGATTCAAAGTCAGCCTGGGCAGGAAAGTCCAGAGACTCTTACCTTCAATAAACTACCAAAAAAGTGGAAAATGTAACCATGACTTGCAAAAGATGATCAGGGACAGCATCTAGACCCCGAGTTCAAGCCCCAGGAATGGGGGGGGGGCGTTGAGGGGGAGGGGAGAAATCAAACAAAAAACAGTTCCTGAACCTTGGTGATGATACACCCCAAGTTGATGATCTGCAGTCACTGCCTAGCCCAGCAGAACAAGAATATCTGTTTTTGTGTCTTTGGCCACAATGTTTTGATGCCCTTTTCCAGTCCCTTCTCTAGCAGTAGGAACTGGAAAGCAACAGTATGATTGATGTCCTAGAAGCTGCTAAACTGGCTGTACTTTGAATGGCATTCTAGTAGAAGCTTTCTGCATTATAGTAGGCTGGCCAGAGAAAGCTGAAAACAGCCTCTGTTACTTAAGCCTGGTTGGTCTAGCACTGCCTGAATACATGGTGCCCTAAGACATCACAAGAACCACATTAGAAAAGAAAGGAGGCGTTGGAGCCATGGCATACATATATCTCTAATCATACTTCTGTCACACAGTTATTAAAAGCCTCCATGGATCAGGAAACTATAAAATTGAGTTCCTACTATATAACATAGCTCAAAGGAAGTGATGACTTTCCACTCCTCAGACTCTTTTGTTGGTTAGGTCCTGAGGTAAGACAATTCACCTTAACTATATCACCCCTGTGAATGAACTAGAATGAAATTCTCAAAGCCAAAATACTGTTAAAGTGGCTGAAGTGGGTGAAACCATTAAAGAACAGCTGTTGCATCAGTACACCTTCTTCCTTAGCCTTCTAGCTGTGATCCAGTCTAAAGATTTTAAAAGTAGAAAGCAGAAAACCTACTGTTCCCTGAGTAGGTCTATACTACCAATTGAAGCCTTGAAGGAGATTGGAAATAATGATAACATAAGGTCAGAGAAGAGAAAGGTTTACCAGAGCATTTCTAGGGGTGGACTGAGGCATTAGCACATTCTTCCTTCCCCAGGGATCCTAAACAGTTTCCAGCTTGTATAGTGATCCACTTTCTTGGCCCTTAATAGAATTCAAAACTGTTATTCTTGTGTTCTTGTTTTCAGATTTAAAAACTTTCACAGTGCTCAGAGTGCTTTCAACATTCTCACAAGCAAGGACTGAAAGTGGAATCAAGAAGGCCCCCAGATTTAGAGTTATACCTCCTTCCTCTGACAAGCAGGCCTTGCAGGTGAGTAAATGTTTCCTGAAATCAGGGGGAAGGCAGCTGCTCTGGTTTGCTGGCCCTAGACTTTGAACTTGTGTTTGGAAAAAGTAAGGAGAGTCCTACTCAGTGACGATTGATCTTTCAATCATTAATTTATTTATTTTCCCTACTTGGGCCCTAGTCTTAGGTCAATTTCTAGCTTCCTACAGCTTCCTTCCTGTCATCTGTTTTTCTCCCAGATCTCTCATACTTTTGGCTTTTATATATTTGTTTAAATAAAGTTTTCTTTTTTTGGGGGGGGGGGCAGAATCTGGTCGTGGGGCCTGAACTCTGGGCCTGGGCACTGTCCCTCAGCTCTTCAGCTCAAGGAGAGCACTCTACCGCTTGAGCCA